TTAATGAAGAAAGAAAGAAAGAAAGAAAGAAAGAAAGAAAGAAAAATTTAAGTCTTCTGCAGCACGCACACCAGAAAAGTGGAGACACTGTGGGTACCGTCAACTGTAATAAGCATTAGCGGCACTCATGAATAGTCGGGTTAATGCTTCTACACTCGGGATTGTCCCATGGGACAATAACCTAGTGGATTAAAGCATTCGTACGTGAATTTCGTGATAAAATCGTGAGCCCAATACCTGGACATACCTAGACAGAAGGAACAGGAACAATTTGCACCTGTTGATTAAATGAAGGTTTCAGTTCAAACCTCTGTGCTTGTTACCTAGATCGAAACCACAACAGAAGGCACAACGACCAAAATATTGTAAGAATAAATATTTTAAGAAAGATGAGTACAGCACTTCACATAGGAATAAAAAAAAAGTTCTTAAAAAACGAGCATTTAAAAGATTTCCTTGCTCGTGATTAAAAGTAAAGAGCGTCAAATATTGGTGTCCGCAGCTGAAGCTAACGAAAAATACCGTTCGTATTAATAATTTTTCTCTGGGTAAAATTTCTTCGAAATAAGGATCAACACGCAGTCGAATTCCACAAAGCAATTTAAATTTTGTACACCTCAACCTGAGTGTATGATTAATCTTTTGCCTGCCTAAAAATGACGTATGTTTTTAAATAAATAATAAAACCAAGTAATGAAGGAAGGTTGTAAGAAATGGGGTTGGCGAGAAATTGAGAGACAAACAGAAAAAAAACGATAGTATGGAACGCAGGGAAAGAATGACAGGCTGAAACGTCGGGATGAATGAACGGCTGAAACGCAGGGATGGATGAAACCAGAAAAGTACGAATGAATGAAAGGCTGAAACGCAGGAATGGATGAAAGGCTGAAACGCAGGAAGGAATGAAAAGATGAGACGCAGGAATGAATGAAAGTGTTAAACGCAGGAATGGATGAAAGGCTGAAACGCAGGAAGGAATGAAAAGATGAGACGCAGGAATGAATGAAAGTGTTAAACGCAGGGATGGATGAAAGGCTGAAACGCAGGAAGGAATGAAAAGATGAGACGCAGGAATGAATGAAAGGGTTAAACGCAGGGATGGATGAAAGGCTGAAACGCAGGAAGGAATGAAAAGATGAGACGCAGGAATGAATGAAAGTGTTAAACGCAGGGATGGATGAAAGGCTGAAACGCAGGAAGGAATGAAAAGATGAGACGCAGGAATGAATGAAAGTGTTAAACGCAGGAATGGATGAAAGGCTGAAACGCAGGAAGGAATGAAAAGATGAGACGCAGGAATGAATGAAAGTGTTAAACACAGGGATGGATGAAAGGCTGAAACGCAGGAAGGAATGAAAAGATGAGACGCAGGAATGAATGAAAGTGTGAAACGCAGGTATGGATGAAAGCGTGAAACGCAGGAAGGAAGGAAAAGATGAGACGCAGGAATGAATGAAAGTGTTAAACGCAGGGATGGATGAAAGGCTGAAACGCAGGAAGGAATGAAAAGATGAGACGCAGGAATGAATGAAAGTGTTAAACGCAGGGATGGATGAAAGGCTGAAACGCAGGAAGAAATGAAAAGATGAGACGCAGGAATGAATGAAAGTGTTAAACGCAGGAATGGATGAAAGGCTGAAACGCAGGAAGGAATGAAAAGATGAGACGCAGGAATGAATGAAAGTGTTAAACACAGGTCTGGATGAAAGGCTGAAACGCAGGAAGGAATGAAAAGATGAGACGCAGGAATGAATGAAAGTGTTAAATGCAGGGATGGATGAAAGGCTGAAACGCAGGAAGGAATGAAAAGATGAGACGCAGGAATGAATGAAAGTGTTAAACGCAGGGATGGATGAAAGCTGAAACGCAGGAAGGAATGAAAAGATGAGACGCAGGAATGAATGAAAGTGTTAAACGCAGGGATGGATGAAAGGCTGAAACGCAGGAAGGAATGAAAAGACGAGACGCAGGAATGAATAAAAGTGTTAAACGCAGGGATGGATGAAAGGCTGAAACGCAGGAAGGAATGAAAAGACGAGACGCAGGAATGAATGAAAGTGTTAAACGCAGGGCTGGATGAAAGGCTGAAACGCAGGAAGGAATGAAAAGATGAGACGCAGGAATGAATGAAAGTGTTAAACGCAGGGCTGGATGAAAGGCTGAAACGCTGGAAGGAATGAAAAGATGAGACGCAGGAATGAATGAAAGTGTTAAACACAGGGATGGATGAAAGGCTGAAACGCAGGAAGGAATGAAAAGATGAGACGCAGGAATGAATGAAAGTGTTAAACGCAGGGATGGATGAAAGGCTGAAACGCAGGAAGGAATGAAAAGATGAGACGCAGGAATGAATGAAAGTGTTAAACGCAGGGATGGATGAAAGGCTGAAACGCTGGAAGGAATGAAAAGATGAGACGCAGGAATGAATGAAAGTGTTAAACGCAGTGCTGGATGAAAGGCTGAAACGCAGGAAGGAATGAAAAGATGAGACGCAGGAATGAATGAAAGTGTTAAACGCAGGGATGGATGAAAGGCTGAAACGCAGGAAGGAATGAAAAGATGAGACGCAGGAATGAATGAAAGTGTTAAACACAGGGATGGATGAAAGGCTGAAACGCAGGAAGGAATGAAAAGATGAGACGCTGGAATGAATGAAAGTGTTAAATGCAGGGATGGATGAAAGGCTGAAACGCAGGAAGGAATGAAAAGATGAGACGCAGGAATGAATGAAAGTGTTAAATGCAGGGATGGATGAAAGGCTGAAACGCAGGAAGGAATGAAAAGATGAGACGCATGAATGAATGAAAGTGTTAAACGCAGGGATGGATGAAAGGCTGAAACGCAGGAAGGAATGAAAAGACGAGACGCAGGAATGAATGAAAGTGTTAAACGCAGGGATGGATGAAAGGCTGAAATGCAGGAAGGAATGAAAAGACGAGACGCAGGAATGAATGAAAGTGTTAAACGCAGGGATGGATGAAAGGCTGAAACGCAGGAAGGAATGAAAAGATGAGACGCAGGAATGAATGAAAGTGTTAAACGCAGGGATGGATGAAAGGCTGAAACGCAGGAAGGAATGAAAAGATGAGACGCAGGAATGAATGAAAGTGTTAAATGCAGGGATGGATGAAAGGCTGAAACGCAGGAAGGAATGAAAAGACGAGACGCAGGAATGAATGAAAGTGTTAAACGCAGGGATGGATGAAAGGCTGAAATGCAGGAAAGAATGAAAAGACGAGACGCAGTAATGAATGAAAAGGTTAAACGCAGGGATGGATGAAAGGCTGAAACGCAGGAAGGAATGAAAAGATGAGACGCAGGAATGAATGAAAGTGTTAAACGCAGGGCTGGATGAAAGGCTGAAACGCTGGAAGGAATGAAAAGATGAGACGCAGGAATGAATGAAAGTGTTAAACACAGTGATGGATGAAAGGCTGAAACGCAGGAAGGAATGAAAGGCTGAAACACAGAGATGAATGAAAGGCTGAAAAGCAGGGAAGGATGAAACTAAGGAATGAATGAAAGAATGAAACACAAGACAGGAAAAAGTCGGGAAAGAAGAAGACAAAACAACAAGTTAGGCAATTAAGAAATAAATGAGGGAAAGAAGAGAGAAAGGAAAGGAAGAAAGAAATATAGTGTTAAAGAAATAAATAAAGAGGGATAAAAGGAAAGAGCGAAGGGTAAAAGGAATTAAATGATAAAAAGGAACGAGAGAAAACAAGAATGGAAAACCCGAATTGAAAAAGAAAATTCTTTATGGCATAAAAAGGAAGTTTTTTTTTTGTTTTGTTTTTTAAAATGGGGTAAAATACAAGAAAATCTGAAAAAGTAATTTGAACGACAAAAAAAAAAGAAAAGAAAAGAGAATTAAAAAAAAAAACATAAAAAAAATGGAGTCCGAAAAATAAGAAGAAAAACTGAAATGAAAACGAGGCTAACTTACTCAATCAGCAAATTTTCCATTGATTCAAAAGTACGTCGAAATAAAGAGTCGACCTTCAGGTACATTCTGACTGAAGTTCGGAAAGCTAATTAGACAGATGTTTTAGCGCCATTTTTAACTCTTCGCGAAGCGGCAAGAATAGCTTTTACTTAATTAATATTTGCTTAGGTTCCATATTTTATGTACTTTTCAAACAGACGTATTCTTTTGCGTAAACATTCACGGTGATTATTTTTACATTAACACTGTATTCTCATTAAAGACACTTGATGTATTTCCCCGAGGGTGATTTAAGATCTGTCTACACCTACTTTCTTCAGTCCTAGTATTTTTTTATTGAGATTCCTTTACGTAAAACGGCCATATCTCGTCGAAACAGCGGTTCTCATAGGAACACCAAAGTTTAAGCAACGTCAAATCTAGTCAGTACCTAGATGGGTAACCACTTGGTAATATCAGGTTCAGTAAGCTTGGATATGCAGTTGTGGCTTACGGCCGTATCACTTTGCAACACTTGTTCTCATACGATTACCGAAGTTAAGCAACGTCAAGTCTAGTCAGTGCCTAGATAGATAACCACTTCAGAATATCAGGTTCAGTAAGCTTGCATGTGCAGTTGGTATGGCTTACAGCTAAATCACGTTGAAACACGGGTTCTTGGACGATCATCGACGTTAAGAAACTTCGAGCCTGGTCAGTAGCTGGATGGGTAACATTTTGGAGTACCAAGTTCAGTAAGCTTGTATGTGCAGTTAGAATGGCTTACGGCTATATCACGTTGCAACACTTGTTCTCATACGATTACCGAAGTTAAGCAACGTCAAGTCTGGTCAGTGCCTAGATGGGTAACCACTTCAGAATATCAGGTTCAGTAAGTATGCATGTGCAGTTGGTATGGCCTACGGTTGAAACACGAGTTCTTGTACGATCATCGACGTTAAGCAATTTCGAGCCTAGTCAGTATCTGGATGGGTAACATTTAGGAATACCAAGTTCAGTAAGCTTGTATGTACAGTTAGAATGGTTTACGGCTATATCACGTTGCTACACTTGTTCTCATACGATTACCTAAGTTAAGTAGTGTCAATCTGGTCAGTGCCTAGATGGGTAACCACTTTAGAATATCAGGTTCAGTAAGCTTTCATGTGCAGTTGGTATAGCTTACGGTTCTATCACGTTGAACCAAAGGTTCTCGTATGATCGTCGACGTTAAGCGCCTTCGAGCCTGGTCAGTACCTGGATGGGTAACATATGGGAATACCAGGTCCAGTAAGCCTGTATATGCAGTTAGCTACTTCAGCTAGAATACAAGAATTTTTCATATACTTGTATTTTGATTGGTCATTGTACCTTATGTAACAGGGTTTTTTGGCTGATTTGAACCATTTAAAAGCCTTTATTTTACATTCAAAACCATCACTTGATAAGACACCGGAAGTGTTGAAACAAAATGGCTATTTTTGTAGTGATTTTATAAAATGTTTAAGTTATAATTTTCGAATAAATTATATTTGCTCTACTCTGTATTAAGCACTCTTTTAAGAATAGTATTTTTGGTTATTGGAATTTATTCCGTATACACCAACTGGATATATAATCAATGCTTGGATATATAATCAATGCATCATTATTTCTTTATAATATAAAATATATTGATCCGCAGTACGAAATTCACGAGAAAAACTACTGAGAAATATCACTCTATTAATTGAACTATGTACTTAGTTCATGTCACGTTAACTGGAAAACACTTACAACAAAAGAATTCGTGGATTTACCAAATTACAAAATTCATATAAAAAATTCTCACTTGAAATATTTGAAATTTAGCGTTGCGACTTGTACGTTCCAATGTTATATAACCGTTAATAAATAATACATTCTTAAAAAAAAACATCTTTCAGTCTACAACACATTTATTTTATATTCAAGTTTTGATTTTAAAGGGGAAAAAATACAGCCTGACGGTAAGGACAGGAAGTCCTTGAAAGTACTTGCTTCTATAAAAAATACACTAGATCCATCTGACAAAAAGTTTATACATAAGGATCGCATCATTCCATGGATTGTTAGTATATTAAGTCTATTAGCGAAGAGGTTTCACCATTAATCGTATTAATATTGCTAATTTATTCAATGTATGATTATTTCATTATAAAACAAACACACACACACATACACACACACACACACATATACATATATATATATATATATATATATAGAGAGAGAGAGAGAGAGAGAGTGAGAGATCCCCTCTTATTAGGATTCTACTTGGGCATACATTTTTTATGGTTTCTCGTTAAACAAGGCGTAATGCCATTGAAAAGAAATGTTAGCAGTAACATTACCTGAAATAATAATTATTTCCTTTTTGTTTCCATTTTCTCTAAAACCTCGTCGTTGCTCAAATGATCGCTCCATGGTATCCTCAGCATCCTTCTGTATAAATTTCAACTGTCTCTTCCTGATGTTAGGTATAACTTTCTTTTTCGTTTCCATTTTTCTCTAAAACCTTGTCGTTGCTCACATGTTCGCTCCATGCTATCCTCAGCATCCTTCTGTAGAAATTTCGACTGCCTCTTCCTGATGTTAAGTATAAGTTTCCTTTTTGTTTCCATTTTCTCTAAAACCTCGTCGTTATTCCCATATTCGGTCCATGGTATCCTCAGCATCCTTCTGTAGAAATTTCAACTGTCTCTTCCTGATGTTAAGTATAAGTTTCCTTTTTGTTTCCATTTTCTCTAAAACCTCGTCGTTGCTTATATGTTCGGTCCATGGTATCCTCAGCATCCTTCTGTAGAAATTTCATCTGTCTCTTCCTGATGTTAAGTATAAGTTTCATTTTTGTTTCCATTTTCTCTAAAACCTCGTCGTTGCTTATATGTTCGGTCCATGGTATCCTCAGCATCCTTCTGTAGAAATTTCAACTGTCTCTTCCTGATGTTAAGTATAAGTTTCCTTTTTTTTTTCCATTTTCTCTAAAACCTTGTCGTTGCTCGCATGTTCAGTCCATGGTATCCTCATCATCATATTGTAGAAATTTCAATTGTCTCTTCTTGATGTTAATTCTCATCGTTACTCACATGTTAGGTCCATGAGAAATATTAGTTAGGAGGAAAGTCAATAAAAGAAGTGGACTCGTGAAAACAGAACATGGTGATTGTATTTCAATTGCCCCCCAACCCCCAAAATGGAATTTGTAGAAATGCCTTCAAAAACTAAAAAAGTAAAAACTATCACCTTGCCAACAGACGCATCCAAGATTAACTTTTTCGGTGTGGCGAAACGGAGTGTTTCCACTCTTTACTTTTAATCAAAATTCGAAGTGGTGAACTCTGGTTTGATCGCAATTTACTAATCTGCTGTGAAAAATCTCAGGGTCAGCCTGGGAAAGAGTCAGAAGCCTCCTGAAAATGTCAAAGTGTTTCAGCTTCTGCTCTGGTGTCAGCAGCCTTGGGACCCATCTTGCATCCCCAAGATCTCGGTTAAAACAGTATGGACCAAACCAGAACTGATTCCTATGGACTTAACTCTCTGCTGGACAGTAAGATGTCTGTCATCTAAAACCATACGGTGAATAGCGTCCACTTGTTCATCCGTGGTTGAGGTTTTGGCACGACCTGACCGAGGGTCATCTTCTGTGCTGTCCGTGTTCTGGTTGGATTCCGCAGACCACTTCCTCACAGTTGTATTGGAAGGTGCGTACCCAGTAAGTGTCTTGTACGTAAAATCAGGAACAAACAATACGAAGGGAACAGGTTGGACTGGCACCGCCTACTTCCGGAAGAAAAAAAAACTCCTCAGCTTCAAGACAGGTTGCTCAAAACAATTTAGCTTCAACACATTGCTGAACAGTTCGATGGAATTACTCTATGTAAAATACAAACAGTCTCAGTTCTCGGTAAGAAGGACACAATTTCCGGTGAAGATAACAGTACCTCAAAGTCCGGGCTTCCGTTAAGAAAGAAAAAGGATAAAAACCCACTCCTCACAAATTCGTTAGTTCGTCAAAAAAAAAAAAACAATCGCCTCAAAACTCCACTGATCTTCGCACTCAATAACAACACCGCCTCATAGTTCGCTACACACGATCTCTCGAGTGGTCTCCCGCCGTCACCTTTTATGCCAGCGAACACCAACCAATTTGCATACGGCCAAGTTCACCTCTCGCCAATCCTCGCAGCTACGAGATAGCGTTTCCCATAAGACCGACTCACCGTAATGGCGGTGTTTCTTCCTTAGGATCAATTACAGCCCTGCACGCCAGACACAAACGAACCCTCTTATGTCGAGAGCTAAGGTTAGTCTCACTTTCATGTACACATGTCTGTACAATGTCTTCATGGATTTCCTTGGGTGTCGTACACTTCTTGTTTTTCGATTTTTAGATTTATTGCTCACCTATAACCATTGTATGGGCATCACCCGGACGACATAAAGCTGATTTATTTTTTTTTCTAATTTTATTATAAGAATTGGTAGTGTGTTGCCAGAAATATGGTTCAGCTCAGATTTTTCTTTCTGGATGAGGTTTAGAACTTAGAACTTTTGTGCTGCTGAGACGGAAGAGTACAAGGAAAAGGAAAAGTCAAACAATTATATCCAGACCCCCAAAAGCAACAAAATCATGGAAAAATTACCTCAACGGGGGGGGTGTTGTAATGGAATGTCCCACACTCCCTGTCACCTATGTGGACTGACTATATCAGTAGCTATATATATAGTGATCACAGGATATAACTGGGGGATAGCTTGGCGAATTATTTGGAGATTCGTCTCCAGCTAAGCTAGTCGAACTCTCGGCCTTCGGGCAGAGAGGAACCTGAACGAGACTCCGCCGAAAGGCAGAGCCTCGTTAGGGAGGTAGACTGTCCCTGAACCCGTTTATACCGATTCGAAAGGGAATATTTTTGACCGATTCTACGGGCTCGGAGAACCCACGTTAAACCGGTCTTGTGCCACATGCAACCCTCGTGGGGGGTAGCTAAATATACTACCTTCGGGAATTAGTTGTAGATTTTTCTCCAGCTAATCTAGTCGAAGTCTCGGCCTTCGGGCAAAGAAGAACCCAGACGAGGCTTTGCCGAAGGGCAGAGTCTCGTCTGGGGAGGTAGACAGCGACCCGAGTTCGTTTTTTACGGGGCCTACAGGGAATTTTTGCCCGAGCCTACGGTATTGGATACCCCACGTTAAATTCACCCTTGTGCCACATCTGACCGCGTGGGACAGTTGGTAAATATCCTAGCTTCGGGAATTACTAGCCTGCCACCCGATTCCCTGTCTTTCAGTAGTGTATTCTCTTTTAACATAAATCTCTCTTCTTTCATCTACCCGCCTGTTGCTGTTCCTTCACTCGAGTACCATCTTTGTCTGTTTGTAACCTCTTTAAGGATACAACAAGGACGACCATCGTGTCTATGGAAACGTTACACTTGATGTAAGCAGAGTAAAGATGTGTGCCGTCAGAGCTCATCGTCGCCCTAGCAATCAAGCGGAAACCAAGTTATTGATTTTCTGCAGTGACAGGTCTACTGCAGTTGTGAGTGTCTATCAGGTTAACAAGCATTGCTAATATCAAGATTAGTAAGCAATTTCCTAATATAACCTTGTTTTATTACATGGTTGATTGATGAGTTGGCCATCGTTAGATTCAAAATGGCATTTCATTTAATTCAAAGTCCGTCTTCTTTGGTTGGTTGGTTGGTTTCCATCTTTGTCAGCCGAAGGCAGTTAGTTTCTTGCATCGCTTATTTTTAAAATCATTTCAGCTAAGTAAAGGTAGAAGGCCACTAAGACGCAATGGTTTACTGAGAAGGAAAGAAACTGAGGAGAAAAAGACAACAAAAAGAAAAGGAATTTAAGAACACAGAAGATGTCGATTGACATTGCAGTTAGATTTTTGGAGATCGTGGTTGACAGGCAGGCAAAAAGGCGGGAGAGAATTCCACAAGCGAGAATTGCGAGAGAAGAAAATGTTAGCATAGAACGTTTTTATTTAGCAACCGCATGCGCCTGTATTTATGTAATAAATAGTACAAATAAAGTTAGAAGATGTATACATCAAAAGAGAGGGAGAAAGAGAAAGGGAAATAAAAAGAGAGAAAGAAGGAGAGAAGGAGAAAAGAAAAGAAAAAAAGAAAGAAAGAGAGTAAAATAAAAAGAGACAGAGAGAGAGGGAGAGAGAGAGAGAGAGAAAGAAACAGACAAAGAGAGAAAGAAGGAAATCGTCATTTCTTAGGGCAACTGAGATTTGCTTTGCTGTGATGGCTTCCCGTAGCTTAATACAAAATGTAACTTATTGGAAAGCAGTTTCCCAGATTAAAAATATTAAAAGTTATATATGTACATCGTAGACAACAGGTGTTTCTATTAATTTATCTATTTCTCTATCCATCTACCTATCTAGCTATCTTAGTTTGTTCATATCAGTCTATATGTTATCTTGCTATTTATCTCTCTATATTAGTCTGTTCATTATCTATCAATCTATGTATCAATATATCAATCTATATTTATGTTACTGTGTCAGATTATACGTCAATCTGTTCGTATCTATCTATCTTTGTTCATTATCTATCTCTGTATATATATATATATATATATATATATATATATATATATATTTATATTGATTGATATATGTCTATATTTCTGAGATGAGATATTATGTACATTATTTACATTATTCGGACTAATGTCCTCATCTTTGTCGCCATATTTATCACAACGTTTCGGCCGTTGTACGCTCCGGCCTTCTTCAGGTGGTTTGCATTTCGAAATGAACCCTTTATTTCGCTCACTGGGGTAGTCTGTTCTAGTTCCACGTACCATGTTTTTGATGGATGTCATTTATCAGTTATCTCCTGCCAATTTCCCTCTGAAAGTTCTCCACTGCCTTAACCGGGTATTAAACTCACACTCTTTGGGTCCTGTCACTGGATCTAACCAACGCCTTTATCCACTGTGCCAGTCTACCCCAGTGAGCGAAATAAGGGTTCAGTTCGAAATTCCAACCACCTGAATAAGGCCGAAGCGTACAACGGCCGAAACGTTGTGATAAATATGGCGACAAAGATGAGGACATTAGTCCGAATAATGTAAATAATGATTATATATATATATATATATATATATATATATATATATATATATTATATATCTATCAGATTCTATATGTCAATCTGTTTGTATCTATCTATCTATCTATCTATCTATCTATCTATCTATCTATCTTAGTGTGTTCATTATCAATATATCTAGCTATTTATCTATATGTCAGTCTATTTATATTTATTCGATTCTGTCAGATTCTGTCAATCTGTTCGTATCCCTCTCTCTCTCTCTCTCTCTCTCTCTATATATATATATATATATATATATATATATATATATATATATATATATATATTATAAATTAATTGATTTAAAATGTGTTTTTTAAATCAATTAATTTATAATATTAATGCTCTGTAAATTTACATTGAGCACTATTTTGTAAAAATAAAAATATCTATAAGAACACCGGATTATATATCTTATGTTTTTTTTTTTTCTTTATATTTATATATATATATATATATATATATATATATATATATATCTGTACTAAATTTCATACATAAAACTAAAACAGTGACTCATATACAATGAATTGCCCGATTAATTTATCCAATACGGCTTTCAGCTTCGTCAGTATATTGATAAGTTCGTTATCTGTTGCTGCCTCTCTGCCAATTAGATGAGGTTAATGGGTTCAAATCACATCTTGGACACAAGGTATGACTTGCAAATCGGAACACTCATACGCATATAGTTAGGCTGACCGGTAATTTTTCGGGTGGATTTGCCCAACCCATTATTATTCTTGTACATTCTATATTCTCTGTTGGTGCACGGTTAAGTTCCTGAGGTTTACTAAGGGTTATATCTTTTTAATCGTGTTCATCCCAAGCAAGGCAGCAAAGCCACTAAGACACAAGGAGTTAGTAGGTGTGGAAGAATTAGAATCATATAAACATATTACTAACGGGGCGAAAACAAAAAAAGTAAATCGTGATGACAGTAGATGGCGATCGACATTACAGTTAAATTCTTGCAGATTAAAGTCGGTTGGAAAATATCGAACCGGAAGGAAGTACCACAAGACAGAAGTGTGAGAAAAGAAACTGTTAGCATGAAACTTGCCAGCTGATCTATAAACGGCTGGCATCATGACGCCAGTCTAGTACTGCGATTGAATTCATAAATGCCAGAGGTACTAAAGCGGAAGGCGATATTTATGTGTAAAAATCACAAAATGGAGCACTAGGCCAAACTGGAGAATAGAGAAAAGAAAAGTATTCTTCTGTCTTAACATTAAACTTAGCAAACCACAAGCATTGATCCAAACAATGCCACAATATTCTTAACACCAAAACAATTTATTCTTACTTACCATTCTTACTACATCTACAATAATACCTCAATATCTCCATGAAAGTTCTAACTAGTCTCCATATGCACAACTCATTGTCTATTAGGGGGAATAAAACAACAATGTAGAGAAGAGCCTGTTGCAATACGGGTCACAATGTCCCAAACAGACCCTCCGCAGGTTTTGAATTCAGACTTAGACTACTTCCTCCTAGACTAGATTGCCCTATCCAGATTATATATATATTGTATATATATATATATTTTGGATTCGAGATGAAATTCGGCCTCCAATCTATTTTACGTACATAAATCCAGGAACGCGGTTTGGCCCATTAATTTAACGGAGAAGAAATTATATATATATATATATAAAATATTGGGACCAGAGTCCATATCCGGGTTATATATATATATATATATATATATTAACACAGGCTCTAATTTGGGACCAGAAAATGGATATTCTTATAGATATTTTATAAATTAACACAGCCTCCAATGAACCAGAGAAAACAAACGTTTCTCAAAATTAAATATAAGAAATAAAATGTATTTACCACAATAAGACAAAGGAAATACTGTTAGTCTAATTTGGGACCAGGAACTGTTATATCCGGTTATCCGGGTTTAGTCTATTTTATATAATACACATATTTGGGACCAGAGAAAATCTCTCTTATATCCGGGTTTCTCTTATATCCGGGTTTGGTCTATTTTATATACATTAACACAGGCTCTAATTTGGGACCAGAGAAAATATATCCGGGTTTGGTCTATTTATAAGCTCTAATTTGGGACCAGAGAAAATCTCTTATATCCGGGTTTCTCTTATATCCGGGTTTGGTCTATTTTATATACATTAACACAGGCTCTAATTTGGGACCAGAGAAAATCTCTCATATCCGGGTTTCTCTTATATCCGGGTTTGGTCTATTTTATATACATTAACACAGGCTCTAATTTGGGACCAGAGAAAATCCGGGTTTCTCTTATATCCGGGTTTGGTCTATTTTATACCACAGGCTCTAATTTGAAAATCTCTTATATCCGGGTTTCTCTTTGCAGAGGTTTTATGTCTCTTATACTCTTATACGGTTTGGTCTATTTTATATACCACAGGCTCTAATTTGGGACCAGAGAAAACTCTTATATCGGGTTTCTCTTATACTTATATCGGGTTACATAGTGTAGATATATACTCACCCCAAGCGGAAGAACTAAATGATATCTACACTCACTCTGGGTATTTAACGGCAGCAACAGACACATGAAAAAGGGGAGGACCCATAACATATATATATATATATATATATATATATATATATATATATATATAAAATATTCCGAAAATGATCAAGGGAATTAAGGTTTTATGTCTATATATAGCATGAATCTATCCAGCCTCTATCTTAAAAAAAAAAACAACTTAAAAGAGGCCGTTTGACCAACACAAGGTCTGACCAAAATTAACAGTAAAAAAACAAATGAAAACTACAAATAACGTTCATTTTCAAAATGTCATTTATTCCTGAATCTATCCAGCCTCTATCTTAAAAAAAAACAACTTAAAGAGGCCGTTTTTTTTGACCAAAATCCTAAAAAAACAAATGAAAACTACAAATAACGTTCATTTTCAGAAACTGATTTATTCTGTAACAAGATTTTTTTCTCCTGAATTGAAATAATAAAACGAAAAATATTAATATACAACCCATTGTGTCTGAAAATTTTGATTTAATTTCCCAATAATTTTATTGTTCAAAACACTCACAAACATTTCTACCTCATCATAGATTTCCATAATAAATATATATATATATATATATATATATATATATATATATATATATATATATATATATATATATATATATATATATATATATATGTAACCGGGTATAAGAGAAACCCAGATATAAGAGATTTTCTCTGGTCTTAAATTAGAGCCTGTGTTAATGTATATAAAATAGACCAAACCCAGATATAAGAGAAACCCGGATATAAGAGACTTCTTCCCCGGTCCCGACAACTCTCTTATATCCGGGTTTACACACACACACACACACACACACACACATATATATATATATATATATATATATATATATATATATATATATATATTATATTCAATCCCTAATTCATACGCTCATTCAGGCACATTTGCGTTTGTTCAACATCAACAGCGCCCATCTGTGGTTTATACAGACCTTAGTTACACTTTCTGAGAGATAGTGTGTTATCTAGCGTGCTCAACAATCTGAACAAGTCTAGCACACACAAACCCTCGGTCACGCTGACTTGTGACTTCCTGCTATCACAGTTATCGGCGGTACCAATTTTATTCACAATGCTTTGGTCAACCCGTGGTATGGTTTTAAGGCACTTTCGAAACGTGATAGCATCAGGAAGTCAGCTTCCCGACAAATTAACAAACTTGGTGAGATTCGAACCGGGATCTCATGGTCAGAAAACGAATGTTCTAACCACTCGGACACGCACCCATATTCATACATACATACATACATGCATAGATAATCTTGTGCTTAGGGCATTTAGTTTCAGATTGTGCTTCATATATTTGTACTCAAATATCCAGAAGTAAAGGCGTTCGTCTATCGACAAAGGAAATGCACAATACTGATTTCTAAAGATATTTCCGTACGGATATATGTTGAGCATGATGACGGGTTGGGTGCAGAATCTGTTACCCAATCCTGCCCATAATTGATTAGTGAGTTCTACAAATTGCCAAATCGGGATACAGAACATTTACTTCACGCAGGCATGACCACTGAAATGGCGGCCAAAGTCAT